GCTCTAATAGTCCTTGGAAAAATATTCTTTAAAAATCCACGTTTAATGGCTCTAATAGTCCTTGGAAAAATATTCTTTAAAAATCCACGTTTAATGGCTCTGATAGTCCTTGGAAAAATATTCTTTAAAAATCCACGTTTAATGGCTCTGATAGTCCTTGAAAAAATATTCTTTAAAAATCCACGTTTAATGGCTCTAATAGTCCTTGGAAAAATATTCTTTAAAAATCCATGTTTAATGGCTCTAATAGTCCTTGAAAAAATATTCTTTAAAAATCCACGTTTAATGGCTCTAATAGTCTTTGGAAAAATATTCTTTAAAAATCCACATCTGATGGTTCCAATAGTCCTTGAAAAAAATATTCTTTGAAAATCCACGTTTAATGGCTCTAATAGTCCTTGAAAAAATATTCTTTGAAAATCCACGTTTAATGGCTCTAATAGTCCTTGAAAAAATATTCTTTAAAAATCCACGTTTAATGGCTCTAATAGTCCTTGGAAAAATATTCTTTAAAAATCCACGTTTAATGGCTCTAATAGTCCTTGGAAAAATATTCTTTAAAAATCCACGTTTAATGGCTCTAATAGTCCTTGGAAAAATATTCTTTAAAAATCCACGTTTAATGGCTCTAATAGACCTTGGAAAAATATTCTTTAAATATCCACGTTTAATGGCTCAAATAGTCCTTGCAAAAAAAATATTCTTTAAAAATCCACGTTTAATGACTCCAATAGTCCTTGAAAAAATATTCTGTAAAAATCCACGTTTAATGGCTCTAATAGTCCTTGAAAAAATATTCTGTAAAAATCCACGTTTAATGGCTCTAATAGTCCTTGGAAAAATATTCTTTAAATAACCACGTTTAATGGCTCAGATAATCCTTGAAAAAATATTCTTTAAAAATCCACGTTTCATGGCTCTGATAGTCCTTGAAAAAATATTCTTTAAAAATCCACGTTTAATGGCTCTGATAGTCCTTGAAAAAATATTCTTTAAAAATCCACGTTTGGTGGGACTGCAAGTCCTTGAAAAATATTCTTTAAAAATCCACGTTTATTGGCTCTAATAGTCCTTGGAAAAATATTCTTTAAAAATCCACATTTGATGAGACTGCAAGTCCTTGAAAAATATTCTTTAAAAATCCACGTTTATTGGCTCTAATAGTCCTTGGAAAAATATTCTTTAAAAATCCACATTTGATGAGACTGCAAGTCCTTGAAAAAATATTCTTTAAAAATCCACGTTTAATGGATCTGAAAGTCCTTGAAAATTATTCTTTTTAATCCACGTTTGATGGGACTGCAAGTCCTTGAAAAAATATTCTTTAAAAATCCACATTTGATGAGACTGCAAGTCCTTGAAAAAATATTCTTTAAAAATCCACATTTGATGAGACTGCAAGTCCTTGAAAAAATATTCTTTAAAAATCCACATTTGATGAGACTGCAAGTCCTTGAAAAAATATTCTTTAAAAATCCACATTTGATGAGACTGCAAGTCCTTGAAAAAATATTCTTTAAAAATCCACATTTGATGAGACTGCAAGTCCTTGAAAAAATATTCTTTAAAAATCCACGTTTTATGGACCTGAATGTCCTTGAAAATTATTCTTTAAAAATCCACGTTTTATGGACCTGAATGTCCTTGAAAATTATTCTTTAAAAATCCACGTTTTATGGACCTGAATGTCCTTGAAAATTATTCTTTAAAAATCAACGTTTTATGGACCTGAATGTCCTTGAAAATTATTCTTTAAAAATCCACGTTTTATGGACTTGAATGTCCTTGAAAATTATTCTTTAAAAATCCACGTTTTATGGACCTGAATGTCCTTGAAAATTATTCTTTAAAAATCCACGTTTTATGGACCTGAATGTCCTTGAAAACTATTCTTTAAAAATCCACGTTTTATGGACCTGAATATCCTTGAAAATTATTCTTTAAAAATCCACGTTTTATGGACCTGAATATCCTTGAAAATTATTCTTTAAAAATCCACGTTTTAAAAAAAAAACTATTCTTTAAAAATTTGCGTTTTTTTTTTTGACCAGAAAGTCCTTGAAAAATATTCTTTTTAAATCCACGTTTGATGGGACTGCAAGTCCTTGAAAAAATATTCTTTTTAAATCCACGTTTGATGGGACTGCAAGTCCTTGAAAAAATATTCTTTAAAAATCCACGTTTGATGGGACTGCAAGTCCTTGAAAAATATTCTTTAAAAATCCACGTTGGATGGGACTGCAAGTCTTTGAAAAATATTCTTTAAAAATCCACGTTGGATGGGACTGCAAGTCTTTGAAAAATATTCTTTAAAAATCCACGTTGGATGGGACTGCAAGTCTTTGAAAAATATTCTTTAAAAATCCACGTTTTATGGACCTGAATATCCTTGAAAATTATTCTTTAAAAATCCACGTTTTATGGACCTGAATATCCTTGAAAATTATTATTTAAAAATCCACGTTGGATGGGACTGCAAGTCTTTGAAAAATATTCTTTAAAAATCCACGTTTTATGGACCTGAATATCCTTGAAAATTATTCTTTAAAAATCCACGTTTTATGGACCTGAATATCCTTGAAAATTATTATTTAAAAATCCACGTTTTATGGACCTCAATGTCCTTGAAAACTATTCTTTAAAAATTTGCGTTTTTTTTAACAGAAAGTCCTTGAAAAATATTCTTTTTAAATCCACGTTTGATGGGACTGCAAGTCCTTGAAAAAATATTCTTTTTAAATACACGTTTGATGGGACTGCAAGTTCTTGAAAAAATATTCTTTAAAAATCCACGTTTAATGGCTCTGATAGTCCTTGAAAAAATATTCTTTAAAAATCCACGTTTAATGGCTCTGATAGTCCTTGAAAAAATATTCTTTAAAAATCCACGTTTAATGGCTCTGATAGTCCTTGAAAAAATATTCTTTAAAAATCCACGTTTAATGACTCTGATAGTCCTTGAAAAAATATTCTTTAAAAATCCACGTTTAATGGCTCTGATAGTCCTTGAAAAAATATTCTTTAAAAATCCACGTTTAATGGCTCTGATAGTCCTTGAAAAAATATTCTTTAAAAATCCACGTTTAATGGCTCTGATAGTCCTTGAAAAAATATTCTTTAAAAATCCACGTTTAATGGTTCTAACAGTCCTTGAAAAACTACTTTATTTAATAATCCACGTTTAATGGCTCTAATATTCCTTGAAAAAATATTCTTTAAAAATCCACATTTAATAGTTTTTTTTAGTCCTTGAAAAAATATTCTTTAAAAATCCACGTTTAATGGCTCTAATAGTCCTTGGAAAAATATTCTTTAAAAATCCACGTTTAATGGCTCTGATAGTCCTTGGAAAAATATTCTTTAAAAATCCACGTTTAATGGCTCTAATAGTCCTTGAAAAAATATTCTTTAAAAATCCACGTTTATTGGCTCTAATAGTCCTTGGAAAAATATTCTTTAAAAATCCACATCTGATGGTTCCAATAGTCCTTGAAAAAAATATTCTTTAAAAATCCACGTTTAATGACTCCAATAGTCCTTGAAAAAATATTCTGTAAAAATCCACGTTTAATGGCTCTAATAGTCCTTGGAAAAATATTCTTTAAAAATCCACGTTTAATGGCTCTGATAGTCCTTGGAAAAATATTCTTTAAAAATCCACGTTTAATGGCTCTGATAGTCTTTGGAAAAATATTCTTTAAAAATCCACGTTTAATGGCTCTGATAGTCTTTGGAAAAATATTCTTTAAAAATCCACGTTTAATGGCTCTGATAGTCCTTGAAAAAATATTCTTTAAAAATCCACGTTTAATGGCTCTGATAGTCCTTGAAAAAATATTCTTTAAAAATCCACGTTTAATGGCTCTGATAGTCTTTGGAAAAATATTCTTTAAAAATCCACGTTTAATGGCTCTGATAGTCTTTGGAAAAATATTCTTTAAAAATCCACGTTTAATGGCTCTAATAGTCCTTGGAAAAATATTCTTTAAAAATCCACGTTTAATGGCTCTGATAGTCCTTGGAAAAATATTCTTTAAAAATCCACGTTTAATGGCTCTAATAGTCCTTGAAAAAATATTCTTTAAAAATCCACGTTTATTGGCTCTAATAGTCCTTGGAAAAATATTCTTTAAAAATCCACATCTGATGGTTCCAATAGTCCTTGAAAAAAATATTCTTTAAAAATCCACGTTTAATGACTCCAATAGTCCTTGAAAAAATATTCTGTAAAAATCCACGTTTAATGGCTCTAATAGTCCTTGGAAAAATATTCTTTAAAAATCCACGTTTAATGGCTCTGATAGTCCTTGGAAAAATATTCTTTAAAAATCCACGTTTAATGGCTCTGATAGTCTTTGGAAAAATATTCTTTAAAAATCCACGTTTAATGGCTCTGATAGTCTTTGGAAAAATATTCTTTAAAAATCCACGTTTAATGGCTCTGATAGTCCTTGAAAAAATATTCTTTAAAAATCCACGTTTAATGGCTCTGATAGTCCTTAAAAAATATTCTTTAAAAATCCACGTTTAATGGCTCTAATAGTCTTTGAAAAAATATTCTTTAAAAATCCAAAATTAAAAGTCCTGGTAGTTCTTAAAAATGAAAAATCCAAATTTGAAAATCCACCATCGAAATAATAAAATAAAATTGTTCTACAAAACATTTCTTCATCATCGTCTTCCTAGCTTTCACAAAACGATTTTCTGTAAAGCACTACACGATTTTATATCTCCTAAAAGTAGGAGAACGTAAACGAAGTGTAAAAGCGTCAAAGTAACACTGAAAAGTATCATTAAATTTATGTTTCTGGCTGGTTGGATGCCTTGGCAACAGCAGAAGCAACTACAGCACGGCGCTGCAAATGCCATAAACGCTTTACACATTATGAATTTTTATGATATTCACAAGTTATTCCATTTGCTTTTATATTATGTCGCACGTTTTTTCATTCATTCATTCATTCCTTTCTTTCTCTCCCTCTCTGTCTCTGTCGTTCCAGGTCATTGAAGAACGTATCGTACACATTCCGACAGTGCCCGCCCAGCCAGAGCCATTCTATCAGCCAACGGGTAAAGAATTGAAACCGAATCCAGTGGGTGAGGAGAATGGCATTGTTGTATTCAATTACAATCCCATAAGTGCGGTAAATTATGTAAGTTGATAGCATTCGGTTCCCGTTTTTTGTTCGATATTACATTGTTGTTGTTATTTTTGTTGTTGCACTTTAATTAGTAAATTTGTGATGGGCGACCACATTGTTCTTTTTCTTGGCTTTTAGCAGGAATGGAATTTTTAACATGACATAAATCCCTTGCAACTATAAACTAACAAAATCTGTCAAATACACACGCACACACACACTCACATCGATAGGTGAAAAAGCCAATTAGTAGCAAAATTTCACATAACATTAGCAGGCTAATAAAGTAATATTGATGTCAATAACTGTCATTGCCAGCACTAGCAGCATTAATTTTAATTTGGTAAATATTAGTAACCCAAAATAGGAAGCACAACAAAATCGACAATATCGAGTCTGTCTAGACTCCTGTTAAAGAAGTCTGTCTAGACTCCTGTTAAAGAAGTCTGTCTAGACTCCTGTTAAAGGAGTCTGTCTAGACTCCTGTTAAAGGAGTCTGTAGAGACTCCTGTTAAAGGAGTCAGTAGAGACTCCTATTAAAGGAGTCTGTAGAGACTCCTATTAAAGGAGTCTGTAGAGACTCCTGTTAAAGGAGTCTGTAGAGACTCCTGTTAAAGGAGTCTGTATAGATTCTGTTAAAAGAGTCTCCTGTTAAAGGAGTCTGTCTAGACTCCTGTTAAAGGAGTCTTTCAAGACTCCTGTTAAAGGAGTCTTTCAAGACTCCTGTTAAAGGAGTCTGTCTAGACTCCTGTTAAAGAAGTCTGTCTAGACTCCTGTTAAAGAAGTCTGTCTAGACTCCTGTTAAAGGAGTCTGTAGAGACTCCTGTTAAAGGAGTCTGTAGAGACTCCTGTTAAAGGAGTCTGTAGAGACTCCTGTTAAAGGAGTCTGTAGAGACTCCTGTTAAAGGAGTCTGTAGAGACTCCTGTTAAAGGAGTCTGTAGAGACTCCTGTTAAAGGAGTCTGTATAGATTCTGTTAAAAGAGTCTCCTGTTAAAGGAGTCTGTCTAGACTCCTGTTAAAGGAGTCTTTCTAGACTCCTGTTAAAGGAGTCTGTCTAGACTCCTGTTAAAGGAGTCTTTCTAGACTCCTGTTAAAGGAGTCTGTCTAGACTCCTGTTAAAGAAGTCTGTCTAGACTCCTGTTAAAGAAGTCTGTCTAGACTCCTGGTAAAGGAGTCTGTCTAGACTCCTGTTAAAGGAGTCTGTAGAGACTCCTGTTAAAGGAGTCTGTAGAGACTCCTGTTAAAGGAGTCTGTAGAGACTCCTGTTAAAGGAATATGTATAGATTATGTTAAAAGAGTCTCCTGTTAAAGGAGTCTGTCTAGACCCCTGTTAAAGAAGTCTGTCTAAACTCCTGTTAAAGAAGTCTGTCTAGACTCCTGTTAAAGGAGTCTCCTTAGACTCCTGTTAAAGAAGTCTGTCTAGACTCCTGTTAAAGTAGTCTGTCTAGGCTCCTGTTAGAGGAGTCTGTACAGACTCCTGCAAAAGGAGTCTGTCTAGACTCCTGTTAAAGGAGTCTGTATAGACTCCTGTTAAAGGAGTCTGTCTAGACTCCTGTTAAAGGAGTCTGTATAGAATCCTGTTAAAGGAGTATGTATAGAATCCTGTTAAAGAAGTCTGTCTAGACTCCTGTTAAAGAAGTCTGTCTAGACTCCTGTTAAAGAAGTCTGTCTAGACTCCTGTTAAAGAAGTCTCTCTAGACTCCTGTTTAAGGAGTCTGTCTAGACTCCTGTTAACGTCTGTCTAGACTCCTGTTAACGGAGTCTATCTAGACTGCTGTTAACGGAGTCTGTCTAGACTCCTGTTAAAGGAGTCTGTCTAGACTCCTGTTGAAGGAGTCTATACAGACTCCTCTAACATGAGTCTATACAGGCTCCTTTAACATGAATCTTTAAAAGGAGTCTGTATAGACTCCTTTTAGAGGAGTCTGTTAGCCTCCACAATATTATAGTTCCACATTTTAGAATTTAAAACACTTTCTCAAAATCCAAACTATATTCCTAACGCACTCTGTGTAGATTAGTTTGTTTTTGTTGTTGTAGTTGCCTCTGAATGCGAAAAAGAGAGATGCATTAATGCAAACAATAGAAAGCAAATACACCACCGACGAGCAGCATGCCTGTAAAACGTTCTTGAAAGGCAAACAAAATGGGAAAACGAGTGAAGGAAAAAAAAAGAAAACTAAAAATCAAACAACAACTGTGCCGGCTATTGTAAAATAAAAAGAAAAAACGGAAATTCACACGTTTTTCTAAAAATAGAATAAAAAATAAAATTGAAATAAACGAAGAAACCTTAAACTTGCGAAGCAAAAAAAATTAAATAAATCGAAAAAACCACGAGCATCTGTCGACATCAATGGCAAAAGAAATCGCAATGAATAACGTGAGGTCTAAATGGGTATTGGGTGAATAAATTGGATAGCTTAGGCCATATATGTGGTAGTAGGACAGCTTGAGGATTTCTTTCCAATATTTTTTAACGATTTCGATTCCAAAAGAAATTTTGTTGACTCCCAATTTCCATGTCGTCAATGAAAAGTATAAGTGTTTCTCTGGTTCTCAAATTAAAAAAAAAATTTTTTTTGGAAAAATTTAATTACATTTTTCAATGGTCGGACAGGTACATTTATGTTGACCCACTGAGATCCTCAATACATCAGAGTGTTACATTAACATATCTCCCCACACAGGAGTGCTTGAGGCTTCTTATAGCCATAGTGGAATGAAATATTAACCCGCCTTTTCAACATATCCCCTTACTAACACCTGCCATGCCCCAATGGTTCTACGTTTGCCTAACGTTGCGTTAACTCCCCTTTCCCTAATTATGTTCTCAAGTTTGGCATCCCCTGAGAAGAAAGTATATAACCTCTAACTCCCCCACCTTAACTTTCCAATTTAGGATAAATCTGCCCGTTCCTCCTCGAATAAAAATCACAATGACGACGATTCAAGCGATTCGGATGTGTCCTCGTGTGAATCGCAGGGATCAACTCCCGATCTCAAAACCCCCAAGAGGTTAGATAAAAATACCCATTTGATAACCAAACTGCTGACTACCCTGGAACAAAGGTCGTCGAGTAATTCCAATGAGGAAGAAGAAGATGAGGAGGAGGAAGACGACGAAGACACTGAAAATGAGAATGAGCAGGAAAACGATGAAGAAGGCCGAACCTGGGCCGAGGAAAATCCCATAACCCAAGAAGAAATCGAGGATATATGGGCGGACAAATCACCGGAATATCGGGCAGCCACACCCACCTATATACGCAAGCAATTTGGCAAGGATGTGATTGCCCAAAAATATGGCAAGGTTGGCAGCAAAACCAAGAAAAGGCAACGAAAACCCATAGAACTCGAACAGGATTTAATGGCCGGTTTGCAAGTAGAATTTAGTAGGACCAGCCTGGATCCCAATCCCGATAATGACAAGCCATCCCCCTCCAATGAATATGCAAAATTAAAAGCAAATCCCATCTTTAATCCCGACATGTCCCTGAACCTAAACGAATTGGCTAGACAAAGTGAAAATACCTCCCTCAATAGTTGTAGGAAATCCTCAAATTGGCTTTCAAAATCGAAACGGCCACAGCAACAGAGTGCAAATATGGAAATTCCCCAACCCTTCTCGGCCAATTATTCCTCATCCAGTAGTTGTTCGCCCCAGAGTAGGGAGCACAGTGTTAGTCCCATGTATGGCCCGCAATCCCACCAAATCACCTGCTGCTCTGATGCACCCTGTAGTTGTAGTTGTACCAATTTGAATTCCAAATTAAATTGCAAACAAAATTTTCAAATCAAACCCAAAGCAGGAGGAGAAGAAGAAGAATATGACGATGAAATAGAAAATCTGAATTTAAGAAAATCCATTCATGACTCAAAATCATCTACTAAATCTCTTCATTCATATTTACCACAGTTTAGCCGTTCCGCAGTGGGTGGTTCGAAATTTCTCACCAATTGTCATCCCTACAATCCGGAGGAGTATGATGGCCTTGAGTTTGAATCGCGCTTTGAGTCGGGAAATCTAGCCAAAGCGGTGCAAATAACCCCCGCCTATTATGAGTTATATCTGCGACCGGATTTGTATACCAGCCGTTCGAGACAGTGGTTTTACTTTCGGGTGCGTAAGACCAAACGGAATATGTTGTACAGGTGAGTGTGGGAATTTTGTTCTTGAGATTAAAATTTCAGAAATACCAAATTTCTATTTTAAATTTGCATCTTCAATTTATTTTCTCCTTTCCGTCATTATCTTTCTATTGCAGATTTTCCATTGTCAATTTAATTAAATCGGATAGTTTGTACAACGATGGAATGCGCCCGCTCATGTACTCCACCCACAATGCCAAAACAAGGAACGAAGGTTGGGTCCGTTGCGGTGACAACATCTGTTACTATCGCAATGACGATGAGTAAGTTCAAAACCAAAAACAACCAAACCAAAAGAATTAAAACGCAGACATTATTTTCATGTGTATGAGACATTCCATGTAGGAAGTAAAAAAAGAAGGTTCAGTGATAATTCTGGACAAAAATTGAACAATTAAACCAAAAAGTAGCAACTGCGGCCATTCAATATTCCCTACTAAAAAATAATATCGAAAGATGAGAGAATCTAAAGCAGTCCTATAAAGCATCCTAAAAAGACTCCTCTAAAGGAGCCTTAAAGACTCCTCTAAAGGAGCCTTAAAGACTCCTCTAAAGGAGCCTTAAAGACTCCTCTAAAGGAGCCTTAAAGACTCCTCTAAAGGAGCCTTAAAGACTTAAGGGGTTTTTAAGACTCCCCTAAAGGAGCCTTAAAGACACCTCTAAAGGAGCCTAAAATACTCCTCTAAAGTAGCCTTAAAGACTCATCTAAAGGAGCTTTAAAGACTCCTAAAGGAGTCTCAAAGACTCCTCTAAAGCAGCCTTAAAAACTCCTCTAAAGAACCTTAAAGACTCATCTAAAGTAGCTTTAAAGACTCCTAAAGGAGTCTCAAAGACACCTCTAAAGCAGCCTTAAAGACACCTCTAAAGGATCCTTAAAGACTCCCCTATAGGATCCTTAAAGACTCCTCTAAAGGAGCCTTAAACAGCCCTCTAAAGGAGACTTAAGGACTCCTCTAAGGAGCCTTAAAGACTCCTCTAAAGGTGCCTTAAAGACTCCTCTAAAGGTGCCTTAAAGACTCCTCTAAAGGTCCCTTAAAGACTCCTCTAAAGGAGCCTCAAAGACTCCTCTAAAAGAGCCTTAAAGACTCCTCTAAAGGAGCCTCAAAAACTGCTCTAAAGTAGCCTTAAAGACTCCTCTAAAGGATCCTTAAAGACTCCCCTATAGGATCCTTAAAGACTCCTCTAAAGCAGTCTTAGAGTCTCCTCTAAAGGAGTTTTAAAGACTCCTCTAATGGAGCATTAAAGAGTTCCCTAAAAGAGCCTTAAAGACACCTCTAGGGATCCTTAAAGACTCCCCTATAGGATTCTTAAAGACTCCTTTAAAGGAGCCTTAAACAGCCCTCTAAAGGAGCCTTAAAGACTCCTCTATAAGGTCTATAAAGACTCCTCTAAAGAGCCTTAAAGACTCATCTAAAGGAGCCTTAAAGACTCCTCTAAAGGAGCCTTAAAGACTCATCTAAAGGAGCCTTAAAGACTCCTCTAAAGGAGCCTTAAAGACTCCTCTAAAGTAGCCTTAAAGTTTTCTTTACAAAATCCAGTAGTTTAATCCGGAGGCCCTCGGAGACCCCTTCTTCCTTAAAACATTATTTTTTAAAAAAGTTCATCATTTTTAATTAGAAAATTCATTTTTAACATTTCACGAAATGCTTGAAAAAATTGTATTTGACATTTGATCTGACAGTCCTGGATTAATTTTTTTTATAAAACTCCGTCCATAATTTTTTATCAGAAGGTCCTTTATAATATTTCCATAAAAAAAGGAAACATAAATAAATGATCGAAATCCTGTTAATTATTTTTTTAAAGAACACGATACTTATACGGGGTCTTCTATAATAGGATTTTTAATCTATAGATCCTTGATAAAATTCCATTTAAAAAAGTCCATGATTTTAAATCAGAAGGTCCTTTCACTAAAATAGACGAAGTTTTTGATTCAATAAATACACATTTTCTTTAAAACAACCCAAATTATTTGATCAGGAGATTCTTGATTACACGAGGAGAAAGGTGATACTTCATAAAATTTGATTAAAATAGCTAAGATATTTGAAACTTTTTCGGAAAAAAAAAGTCCATCACTTTTTAATCAGAAGGTCCGTTCGTGCCAAATATTGAATAATCTCCATCAGTTGGAACGAATTTCGCAATTTTCCAAAAAAACGAACAAAAATCCGTTAAAAAATCTGTTACAAATATCGAATGTAGCCTTATAATAGGGTCTATACGACGACGTGGACCTGCATAGACATCTTTTGTCATAAGCTATTACAATATTCAAATGCAAATCTTGAAAAATAAGATTCGGTGAATAATGTCGCTAAAATCATCAAAATACCGAATATATAGAGATGTACCGTTATATGGGGGCTCTATACGAAGACGTGGACCTGCACAGACAATTTTCTGTCATAGGCTGTAGTAGCCATTACGAACTTCAAATACCAAATTTGAAACAATTCCGGTGAATAATGTCGCCAAATTCATCAAAATACCGAATATCGAGAGGTGCCGGGCTATACGAAGACGGGGACCTGCACAGACAATTTTACGTCATAGGCGTAATACAGCCATTACGAACTTCAAATACCAAATTTGAAACATTTACGGTGAATAATGTCGCTAAATTCATCAAAATACCGAATATAGGGAAGTGCCGTTATATGCGCGCTATACGAAGGTGTGGACCTGCACGGACAACGTTTCGGTCATAGGCTGTAGTATCCATTACAAACTTCAAATACCAAATTTGAAATAATTTCAGTGAATAATGTCGCTTAAATTACCAAAATATCGAAAATAGGGAGGTACCAATATATGGGGGCTATACCAAAACGTGGACCCATTTTCACCAAAAGTCCTGCAGACATAGTGTACATTTGAGTAAAATTTTATCAACCTACTTCATTTCGTTCGGAAGCTAGAGTGATTCCACAGACGGACAGACGGATGGAGAATTTTATGCTTTAAGTATGTAATGTATATTTCGAGATGTTATAAACGGAATGACAAACTTAATATACCCTCCATACTATGGTGGAGGGTATAACAAGGCCACGTTTTTTCATTGATGATGAATTTATAACAATATGTCCTTGGGAAAAAGGTTTGCACTTGACAATTTTGAACTTAGCAGTGAAAATTTTTTTTAAATATTTTAGAATATTTGAAGCATTGGATGTCGCTGATTATGCGCTGCCTTTATTATTTAGATGAGAAATTAAAACTAAGTTGGTATCGTGATATGGCTCTTCTAAGTGCATACCCTGTACCAGATATATATTTGTCCAAAAATTTCAATCTTTTCTTGAAAGATCCTATATTTCCGTGGTCCGCTTTATAATAATTCATTCGTCTTTTCCAGGAAAATAATTGTTTCAAGCTTAGCTTTGCATTCTTCGATAAACTCAAAATATTCATCATTGCCCCAAAACTTGTGGATTTTAATTTTGAGATTTCTTCAAATTCAATTGTTTATGGCATAATATCAACAAATTCACATGGAATGTCTCATATATGTGATTTTCTAGTTAAAATATGCACACACACACAACACACTTTTATAATTGGGTTCAAACACACATCTGACCTCTTTCAACCTAAAGAAATAACATAGTAACATATACGAATTTTGTCATGTAAATGAAACAACTAATTACAAAATGTTTTTTTTTAATTTACGAAAACAAAAGAAAATGAAGCTACATCAAAATTTTAAATTCCAACACAATTTTGCACATGGAGAGAGAATTTAATACACATAAAGAGAGAAAGATACTACAGTAATAATATCAAAATAAATAATTATCTCATTTAATTGCAATTCTTGTATTATAATGAGCTTTTCTTGTTTCTTATTTTCTTCTTCTTTCACGATTTCTCTGTGTCTTTTCTATGGTTTCCTTTGGTCTCATAACTTCTTGGGCTCTATGTGTTTTTGTCATAAAATATCTCTCGGTCTCGCTCTCTTAATTAATGTTGCTATGTTTTCTCCATTCGTTCTTCTCTAATTCTAACATTTAACTAATTTACATTTTTTGCCATTGTCATCACAACGGCATTTGCATTAATGTATGTGTATTTGTGTGTGTGTGTGTCTGCTTTGTGCGTGTGTGTTATAAATGTCATGATATTTCTTTTTAGCAACCAAACCAGTGAAGAGGAAGAGGACAATTCTTCATACACTCTCACCTTTAATATTGAATTTGAGCATGACAATGACACCGTCTATTTTGCTCACAGCTACCCATACACCTACAGTGATTTACAGGTAAGCGCATAACAAAACAAAACCAGGGAATTGTTTATTTTCTTTACATGGATGTTTAATGTGGAGTGGGGGAGGAAAAAATTAATTAATGTTATTGTGAGATGGTCCTGTTATATTGAGAGTGTATAACAAAAGGGGAGTTATTTAATGAAGCTGACATGAAGATCCACTTACCTTTCAGTGATTTCACGGGAGAATAAAATCTGTAAAGAGAGAAGAAAATGGGGGCGAACTGTTATTTGATTGATTTGATGTTTTGAAATGATATAAAATAATTAATTGCTTAATTGCTAATTTGTTAGACAATAGAATCGACTAGGGGAAAAAGCAAAAGTAGTCGAAGCCATTCTAAATAAATAAATAAACTCGGAAGATAATCCATAACTAAATATATTTTATTTAGACTCGTATTTAAATTATACAAATTAGAGAGTTTATATGGTGTTGTCGACAGATATACAGGGTGAGATAAAAATATTGCAACAAAGTCAAACGCCATAATTTTTACATTTTCATACCCTTTACCATAATATGAAGGGTATATAAAGTTTGTCATTCCGTTTGTAACACATCGAAATATATATTTTAGATCCCACAAAGATCAGCAAAAATTCTATGTCGATTTAGTGATGTCCGTCCGTTTGTGGAAATCACCCTAGCTTCCGAACGAGATGACGTAGGTTGATAAAATTTTACCCAAATGTATATAATGTCTTCAGGACTTTTGGTATTGAAAACAGGCCATGTAGGTCCACGTTTTGGCATAGCCCCCATAAAACAGTACCTCCTGATATTCGGTATTTTGATGATTTTAGCGACATTATTCAACGGAATTGTTTCAAATTTGGTATTTGAAGTTCGTAAGACAGAAAATTGTCTGTGCACCTGCACACATCTTCGTATAAACCTCATATAACGGTACGTCCCGATATTCGGTATTTTGATGATTTTAGCGACATTATTGCCCGGAATTGTTTCAAATTTGGTATTTGAAGTTCGTAATGGATGCTACAGCCTGTGACAGAAAATGCTCTATGCAGGTCCACGTCGTATAGACCCCAATATAACGGCTATATTCGGTATTTTAAAGATTTTAACGGATTTTATTTTTTGAAAATTTCCAAATTCGTTCCAAATGGTGAAGGGTATTCAAACTTAGGTCCGGCCGAACTTACTGCTTTCTTACTTGTTTTTTTTTTTATTTTATTGAATGAAAGCAAAAAATGTCGGAAACAGCATCAAATTTTAGAATTAGTTTAGATTTGTTCGAATTGAACACCTTTGGCACAAATTATGGGCTTCAAACGGCCAATGAAACCACACACGCTGCCCAAATGTTGCTCTGCCGTATTCTGGTCCATTCCTGGTGAAGCGCTTGTTTGAAGTGATCGACACTTTGGAAATTTTTAGTGACAACGTTGCTTTCCAAAATACTACAGACGCAATAGTCCAAAGGATTAGTATCCGGAGAATTTTGTGGCCATTGTGCGCTGGAAATGAAGCGAGGAACCTCATTTTTTAACCATTCTTGGGTGGCGCGTGCTGAGTGCGATGGTGCTGAGTCCTGTTGGAATCTTCTATGTCTGCGGCCAAAATGTTTGCGTACCCAAAGCTTTAATACACCCTCCAGAATATTTTCGCGTTTATATTCGGAATTCATTCTGATGCCACGGTCGATAAGTACGAACGGAGAGCGACCATCGGCTGTTATGGCGACCCACACCATCATCATGGCCGGCGCTTGAGTTCTGGTGGCCAACTGAAGGTGCACATTTTCAGCTGACCTCTTTGGCAAGTAAACACGATCATTTTGTTTGTTTACAGACTGCAGGACATCGGAGAAAACCAAATTCGGCAGTTCACCACTTTCGGCCAAGCGAAGTAATTCTTTTGCATCCTTTGAGTCTATTTTCTTTCTGTTGCGGTGTAAGTTCTTGCACTTTTTGGAATTTCAATGCTCATTTTTTCAATGTTCGACGGACCCATGTTTTTTTTAAAAACCAAAGAAAAAAATAAAAATTTGGCGGTTGGCAATGTTAATCATTTAATTTGTTCCAAGTAGGTTTGTTTACATCAATTTTTGAATATGATATCTCTCAAATGGGCCCTCTGGCGTTGATGACTTATTGTGCCATTTTTGCTGCATTTTTCATCGTTTTTGCCAACATTTCGGCTGGAATAACGGCTATTTCTTCACGAATGTTGTCCTTGAGCTCTCCTACGGTCCTTGACTTGTTAACATAAACCTTTGACTTCAAATATCCCCACAAGAAAAAGTCAGGCGGCGTCAAATCGGGCGAACGCGGTGGCCAGTCCAAATCTCCACTTTTCGACATCAAACGGCCCGGAAACAAATTCTTCAGAAAATCCATTGTTATGCGACTTGTGTGCGGTGGAGCGCCGTCTTCTTGAAACAATGTGAAATGGGCTTCATCGGACATGGAAATTTTGTTCCAAAATTGCTCGTCATCTTCGGCCATTTCGATGACTCTTTGGACCCATTCAAATCGGCGAGAACAAATGCAAATCAATGCGAATAATCCGTTGTAAAGTGGACCGAGCCATGCCCAACTGCTGAGAACGCTTTTTTTGGATGTTCTTGGGGACCTCTCAACACTGGATCGTACGGCAGCGATATTCCCGGCCGATCGCCTTGGTCGACTTTTATATGGCCTCTTCGGATTAGAAAGAGCCTTACCAGTCGAAAATTTTTCGTATAAACGCTTAATGGTGTTCTTAGATGGCGCACTTCTCACATTTTTTAATGTTTTAAAAGCACGTTGAGTTTTCACAATTGACTTCTTCTGTTGAATGTAAATTTCAACTATTTCAGAGCGCTCGCGTGGCGTGTATTGGTTAGTGGTAAAAATCTGCTTGGACTGACGCTTCAAACGCGGTATGTCATTTAGCGATGTGACATCTCTGTCAAAAGTTATGGCGTTGCCAGATGGGTCCGTCGAATATGAGCAACCCAGTATTTTCCGAATGGCGGTATTGCGATATGTTCAGCATACGAGCCATTTTTCGGCCACTGCGACGAGGGTTTCGATCAAGTCGCTTCTTTAGTTTTCGAACCATTTCTGCTGATGTTGCTGTTTTCTACCGTCCACTTCCTTGACGTTGGGCCACGCTACCAGTATCACGGTAACGAGCGATGGTACGAGACACAAAACATTTATTCAAATTTAAATGCTGGAGTCCTCTAACGATAGCCACTTGTGGTTTTCCAGCCAAATATAAATAAATCACACTATCCTGAATTTCATCAGGAATAACTTTTGTCTTGGAAAATTCTCACCAAAATGCTTTTGTACACTTGCGAACAGTGTAATGAGCTGTCACTGGAATAATTTTAACAGCTGTCGGACGAGTGGCTTAGAATTGACAGCAGTCTGAAATTAGATGCAGATTTTTTCATCCCACCCTGTATAAGGATTTACTTATTAATTTGAACATTAGTCGAAGTCTCGGTGATTTTTTTATTCTTCAAATCTTGACCATATTTGAGAGAAGTATCAGAAATATTGGACCAATATATTCCATTACGACACTAGACTAGTATAGGAATATTTTAATAATATAGATATATTAATATTCGGATTCAAAGAGTTATGTGAGAATTTATCTCCCCCAACGGTTCACTAGATGTCAATAAAACAGCTTCAAATTTATCAAAAAAAAAAAAACTACCTGCAAACAGAATGGCGACTATATGTCGCCCACACGCACAAATGACATTAATTAATTTTTTCCCCCATTTAATTTTCGATTATGAATTTAACAATACAAATTGATTTTAATAATATTTACCGGAGACACTGAAAACATGGCCGCAAACACACGGCCACCAAACAGTTGACAATAACATTTTCACATTTGTTTCCAGTCATTTTTTATTAATCATTTCATTCCGTCCGTTTCCATGTTTTTTTTTTTTCAGGATTATTTAATGGAAATCCAAAAGAATCCGGTGAAATCGAAATTTTGCAAATTAAGACTGCTGTGCCGGACATTGGCTGGTAATAATGTCTACTATCTGACGGTGACAACGCCAGCGGTGACCGAGGAACTGATGAAGGTAAGTTGACCAAGGGTGGGGGATGGGTAGATAATGGAATTATTTGTTTTCATTTTTTATTGATTGAGAGGGCTGGGGCGGCAGTGGGGTAAAATATGTTTGCGGTTGATAATGAATTAAAAATTAATTTATAATAATTGTTGAACAAAGAGCGTAGAGTTGGAAATGAGTGAATGAATATGTTGCAAGTTATTCGAAAACTACACATGCATAAAAACTCACATGCATACATACAGATATATTTGCGTTAATAAATACATACATACAGTAAAAAATTATTAATAGGTTTTCGAATGTGGAATACCTCGCACAGAGGCTCAAAATCGGTTTATCGTGAATTCCAAAATTCTGCAAAATTTAAATGGTTAGAGGTATTGCGTTTTTTCTGGCAAAGTTGATTATTTTAAATCACTATGCAGCAAAATCCAACAGATTATGAAAGTAGTGCTAATCACAGAGGACATGTGAATCGGCGATTTAAGAGTTTACATCGCAAAGTAGCCAAGAAAAGGGCGCAAGTTCCCCTTCTTTACACTTTTGGAAATTTTTGGATTAAGATTACTCGGAATCCATTGATTTTAGGTATGCAGGGTGAGACGAAAAAACTGCAACCAACTTTAGACTGCTATCACTTCTAAGCCACTCGTTCGACAGCTGTTAAAATTATTCCAGTGACAGATCATTATATTGTTCACAAGCGTACAAAAACATTTTGGTGAGACTTTTCCAGAAAAAAAGTTATTCGTGATGGAGTTCAAGCGTGATTTCTTTATGTTTGGCTGGAAAACCACAAGTATCTATCGTTAGAGCACTCCAGCATTTAAATGTGAATAAAGCTTTTGTGTCTCGTATCATCATTCGTTACCTTGACACTGGTAGCGTAGCCCGACGTCAAGGAAGTGGACGAAAGAAAATAGCAACATCAGCAGAAATGGTTCGAAAAGTAACGAAGCGACTTGATCGAAACCAGCGTTGCAGTGGCCGAAAAATGGCTCAAAATTTCCCAATATTCCATTCGGCAAATATTGAAAAATTAGCTCGGGGTAAAGCAATTGAAATTCCAAAAAGTGCAAGAACTCACACCGCAACAGGAAGAAAATGGACTCAAAAGAGCTAAGGAGTTGCTTCGCTTGGCCGAAAGTGGTTAACTGCCGAATTTGGTTTTCTCCGATGAGAAAACATTCGTTGTCCAGCAGTTTGTAAACAAATAAAATGATAGTGTTTACTTGCCAAAGAGGTCTGTTAAAAATGTGCACCTTCGGTTGGCCAACAGAACTCAAGCGCCGGTCATGGTGATGGTGTGGGCCGCCATAACAGCCGATGACCGTATGCTGAATATTAAATCGACCGTATGCCAAATTAAATAAATGCCGAATAGTATCGCGAAAATATTCTGGAGGGTGAATTAAAGCATTGAGAACGCAAATATTTTGGCCGCAGATCTTGGACATTGCAACAGGACTCAGCACCATGGCAATCAGCACGCGCCACCCAGGAATGGTTACAAAATGAGGTTTATCGCTTAATTTCCAGCTCACAATGGCCACCAAAATATCCGGATACCAATCCCTTTGACTATTGTGTCTGGAGTATTTTGGAAAGCAGGGTTGGCACTAAAAAATACCAAAGTGTCGATCACCGCAAGCAAGCGCTTCGCCGGGAATGAGCCTTTGCACCAAGACTGGCCCTCGTGCAAATTTTCAAGATCCTTGCTTCAGCCGTTTCGTCTGGGCGTTTATTCTTAATCTTTAGTTAAATACCACAATCGAATTAACCATACATCCACCCTAATGTACAAACAATTTAATTAATTTCCATCTCCTATTTTTTTCCTACTTTCCCTTAATTCATATTCATTTCTCTACAGTTCACAGGAAAAATTACAAAAAAAAACATTCTCACAATATCAAAGGAATTAATTCAATATTTCTATAAGTCCAATTATTCATTGCAGAATGCATTTGAATTATTCTCTCTCCCTCTTTCTGTCTCTTCCCCTTTTTCCCTTTCCCTTCGTCACCATTTCCATTTTTTGTTCATTTGAATGTCCTGTCCCTTTGCTCGGCTGCTAACCAATGTTAACACTTCATTGGGTTTAATTAAAAGCATGTCAGCAGATGACGATGGTGACACGCCTCCCGACAAGCATCCTACCAACAACACAGCATACAAGTGTCCTTGGATCCTGGGTATTGTAATTTTTTTCTTGTTTGCTTCACTCTAATTAAACCATAGATTTTAATGAAAAAATAGGAGTAACCATAAACTTTTGTTATTTGGTAGGGGCGGGAATGGGAGGAGGCGTAACATGGCCAGAAAACTGTAAAAGGCCTGCAACTACACAACAGCAACAATAACGAGAATATTCTAATGAGTTGCCACAAATTATGCAACAATTTACCATAGATTCAGGAATCGTCTCTTCCCCTCTCCATTCACCCCCCCAGCCACAATAATTGGACAGGCAAAAGGAATAATCGCAACACATCACCGAGCTTTGCCTATATCTGAACTTTGTACGAGGAATTCTTAATACATGCCTAGTGAACTAAGCCATATGGAGTCACCAGCAGCAGCAGTATATCCTCTGCAGTATTTGACAAAAAAAAAAACTTGGCGTGATAGGGTCCTTGTTTCACAAAACCACAGGCAAAGGCATGGTGGAAACCTCTCCTAATATGAGTTTATTTGAACGGCGAAAGCAGCAGATGATGCAGAAAAAATACAAAATTTGAAATAGCCACCGAGAGATTATTTAAAACAATGAGAACTAATGGGAGGCTTGCTACAGAAGAGAAGCTTCTTTTGAAGTCGTTTGTAGACAGAAGAATTTTTATTAGGACATTTATAAAAAGAGGACTTTTTAAATGGAATTTATGGGCCACGACAACCCGCAGCAGAGCACTACAACCAAGAATATATTAAAAAAATCCACATTTGAAGAGTCCTTGGAACAAGTTTAAACGTCTGATCCATTTCGTATCTGACGAAGTCTTAAAAATTTAAAATGTTCGAAATTTGGACCTTCATTTCGATTTTTATAAGAGTAGGTACTTAATGGGCCTTTCTTGTTCTGTTAGGTTAACTGTTTTCTATGAAGGGAATGTTTTTCTATGTTTTTTGTAGGTAAGTTACTAGAACAAGTAGATTCCCATCTTCGAACTCAGTCTATGATTGATAACAAAAAAGTCCACGTTTCGTCCTTGAATAAAATTCCTTCAAAATCCACGATGCACCCTTGAAAAATATTAATTTCAAATCCACATTTCAAAAATGTTCCTTTAAAATCCACGTTTCATCCTTGAAAAATATTCTTTTCAAATCCACGTTTCGTCCTGGAAAAATATTCCTTTGAAATACACTTTTGGTCCTTGAAAAGTATTCTTTAAAAATCTACTGAAAGACCTTAAAAAATATTTTTTGAAAAAAAAAAAAAAACATTTTTTTTATGAACCTTACAAAACTTAAAAATTTATTTTAAAAATTGAAGTTGGGTCCTTGAAAAGTATTTCTTTAAAATCCATGTTTGGTCCTTAAACAATAGTCATTTAAAATCCGGGCTTGGTTCTTGAAAATATTTCTTTAAAATTCACGTTTGGTCCTTGAAAAATATTCCTTTAAAATCCACGTTTGGTCAATGAAAAGTATTTCTTTAACTCCAAATTGGGACCTTCAAGAATGTTTTTTTTTGAATCCACGCTTTGTAACTAAAAAAATGTTCTCTATATACCAAGTTTAGTCCTTGAAAAAATATTCTTTAAAATCCACGTTATGGTCTTAATAGTCCTCGAGAAATATTTGGTAATATTCTTTAAAAATCCACATTTAGTCCTCAACAAAATCTTCTGATAGCCCTTGAAAATATATTATTCAAAAATCCACGCTTAGTCGTCAAAAAATCTTCTGATCGTCCTGGAAAAGATATTCTTTAAATCTTCTGATAGTCCTTGAAAAGATATTCTTTAAAATCTACGTTTAGTCCTCAACAAAATCATCTGACAGTCCTTGAAAATATATTATTTAAAATCCACGCTTAGTCGTCAACAAAAGCTTATAATAGTCCTTGATAAGATATTCTTCTTAAAATCCACGTTTAGTCCTCAACAAACTCTTCTGATAATCCTCAAAAAAATATTCTTTAACAATCTAAATTTAATGGCTCTGATAGCCCTTGAAAAATCTACGTTTTGGGGCTCTGATAATCCTTGAAAAATATCCTTAGGAGTTCTCCTTTAATGGCTCTGATAGTCCTTGAAAAATATCCTTAAGAATCTTCGTTTAATGGCTCTGATAGTCCTTGAAAAATATCCTTAAGAATCTTCGTTTAATGGCTCTGATAGTCCTTGAAAAATATCCTTAAGAATCTTCGTTTAATGGCTCTGATAGTCCTTGAAAAATATCCTTAAGAATCCTCGTTTAATGGCTTTGATAGTTCTTGAAAAAATAATAAAAATCCGAGTTTAGAATATTGAAAAAATATCCTTGAAAATCCAAGTATAATTGCTCTGACGGCGCTTAAAAAAATATCCTTTAAAAATCCACGTTTAATGGCTCTAATAGTCCTTGAAAAAAAATATCCTTTAAAAATCCTCGTTTAATGGCTCTAAAAGTCCTTGAAAAAATATCCTTTAAAAATCCACGTTTAATGGCTCTAATAGTCCTTAAAAAAAACTATTCTTTAAAAATCCACGTTTAATGGCTCTAAAAGTCCTTGAAAAAATATTCTTTAAAAATCCACGTTTAATGGCTCTAATAGTCCTTGAAAAAATATTCTTTAAAAATCCACGTTTAATGGCTCTAAAAGTCCTTGAAAAAATATTCTTTAAAAATCCACGTTTAATGGCTCTAATAGTCCTTGAAAAAATATTCTTTAAAAATCCACGTTTAATGGCTCTAATAGTCCTTGAAAAAATATTCTTTAAAAATCCACTTTTAATGGCTCTAATAGTCCTTGAAAAAATATTCTTTAAAAATCCACGTTTAATGGCTCTAATAGTCCT